GAAGACAACGGTTAATCTTACACTTGAACTGATTAAGATTATAGTGATCAGGGAAATATTCTCTTGGGAGTCGGTTCCACGGAGATAGGTTCGCTGGGAAAAGCTGTTCGAGTAGAACTTGTTTTTCACCAATGGGATACCAAGATAATGTGGTTGGTTTGCTACAATGTGAAGGTTCTAACTGTTGGAACTAAGTTATATAGTTCGTCCGAGCACTTTCCGTAGAAGTAGACTTAGTGCAATGAGAGGCTTGCCACATACCGCCTGTGAGTGGAGAGGTTGGAAGCTGGAAAATTATTCGTCACCCACAAGGACAGGGAGACTCTTTTGGACTCTATCGAAACTGGAAAGTGAAGACTGTGTAGCTCCTCCCTAAATATAACAACAGTGCCTTTACATATAAGTACAGCTCCTTTACATATAAGTATCGATAGAGTAGTGAGAGGCTTGCCACATCTCGTCTGTGAGAGGAGAGGTTGGAGGCTGAAAAATAATTCATCACCCACATGGACAGGGAGACGCTTTTGAACTCTGTCGAGACTGGAAAGTGAAGACTGTGTAGCTCCTCCCTAAATATGACAACAGTACCTTTACATATAAGTACAGCTCCTTTACATATAAGTATCGATAGAGCAGTGAGAGGCTTGCCACATCTCGTCTGTGAGGGGAGAGATTGGAAGCTGGAAAATAATTCATCACCCACAGGGACAGGGAGACGCTTTTGGACTCTATCTGGAGAGTGAAAATTAGGCAGTTCCTACGGCAGCGAATCCTGGATGGTCTCCTCAAAATGAAGAAAATACTCGAGGAAACATAGGTATGGTTCTAAAGAAGGATGCTAAGGATACCATGGACCGAACATGTGAGCAAACATGAGGTTTTGGAGAGGATGCCAAAAGGAAACATACTTAACATCAAGAAAAGTCAGCTGACATTTCTAGGAGACATTTTCTAGAAAGGAAGGCTTGGAAAATCCCTTACTCACGAGGCGAATAGAGGGAAATAGGTCACTGGAATGCAACTCGTGACATACCTAGCTAGCTTAAGCAAGTGGATGACAGAACATAGTCTGGGAGAAGTAGCAAAACTTATTGAGAACTGCAAGGGATAGGAGGAAGTGGAGAGCCATGATCACCTACGTCCTGAAGAAGATCTATATATGGCATCAGTACTCCAATTTTCGGCTTAATCTGGCTCTTTTAAAGGTAGAGGATGGCAGGAGGTGTCAGGTACTTAATGAAGCGTTACAGGACGATCATTTTTCCAGCATCTTTAACCGTTAATCGGATATACGAGATCAACTTGAGGTCTGGGCCTCCTTGAAGGCACATCCGTTCATCGTGATTGGTTACAGTTCGGGGCCCGATCGGCGATGTTTGAATACCATCAGTTTGATTTTCGAGCCATTGAATGTGACCAGCCAGTTTCCCACCACCACCACCACTGAACTGTTAGAGCTCAATCAGAGGAGAGATCAGCTGCCAATCTCTGGTTATCTAGAGTTTTCGAGGTTCACACACATACCGTTGTATAATCAACATAGATATTCACAAACGATCGTTGTATACACTGGGGGAGATCGTTTATGTAAAATAGAAAAAGTGTTGTTTCGAGAAGCGACCTCTGCTGGACGCCTGCCTCGATTGCCATGGCCTCGGAAAACTGGCCATTAACAACTACATTCAGGAACCTACTCGATAGGAATAACTTTATAATTGAGATGACTATTCTAGTGATTTCATAGCTTGTAAAGTAATCATTTATGCCATACCTTGTCAAAGGTCTTTGAGATTATCTAATGCGACCGTCCTTGAGATGCATTTGTTGTCAAGTGCCTCACTGATTCTGTGAGTAATGAATCGGGTTGATCGAAATCCGTACTGCTTGTCGCTCAAGAAGTTGTTTCTATTTAGGTTACCAACAAATTTCTTGTTAATTAGTTTCAAAAAGTTAGCTAATGAAACTGAGTCTGACAATGACAATGGGTCTATACTGAGAGGAGGATGAGCGCTCTTGAAAACCGACAAACACTTGACGCTTTCCACAGATTAGGGAAGCAGCTAAGATCGGAGATAATTCCGGGTTGATATTTTTAAGGACAACCACTGTGATTTTCTCTGGGTCAGTAGCTTTCTTCGGGTGACGACTTTTGATATGTTTTGAGACTTCCCGGGTTATAATAAAAATACTTTGGGTCTTTGCTTAGGCAATTAGTTGGAGATTCGTCTCCAGCTAAGCTAGTCGAACTCTCTGCCTTCGGGCAGAGAGAAACCCAGACGAGTCTATGCCGAACCCGACCCCGTTTTTTACGGGGTCTACGGGGAATTTTTGCCCGAGCCCATGAGCTCGGATATCCCACGTTAAATTCGGCCTCGTGGGGCGGTTGGCAAATATAAAAAACATATTTTTAAAAATACTAATGAGATTGGGCTCAGTGAGACAAGGGAAGTCAGATAGGGGGGAGGGCTATGTTTTCTAACGTTAAGTTAGAGACAAAGATCGAAATGAAATACTTTGCCTTATTCTATCAATGACAGTTGCATTCATTCCTGATCACAATCATCTTCTTCCTCAATTTTAATGAATTTCTCTAGTAAAATCATTTACAATGCATTTTATAGTAAATTGTATCTATAATAGTCTTTTTCTATGAGTAATGCTTTTCTTAATTCCTGACTGACTACTTACTGTCAACTGTTTTTGTACTGATTAATAATTTCTACAGTAAGATAATTTAAGTTGCATTTCTATAGCAAAATCATTTGCAATGCATTTCTATAGTTCAATTATTTGCAGTGTTTTTACATAACGTAATAGTGCTACAGAATAAATATCAGCAAACATCCACTGAGGAGCACATTGACTAGACTTGTGATGGTCTACTAAACATATTTACTAAGGCAATCTAAGTCATTTAAACAGGTTACAATTGTTTGGCATTCGGTGAGAATCAGTTCTTAGTTGTAATTCAAGTATGATACTGTTGTGGCCTGTTTAGGGACCAGAAAGACACGGAAGACGAAGGTAGGTTGAAAAAAGTATAATGAAGATATATACAAAACAATAGTGTTAGTAATAAGTAGATTAGCACTGCGTCTACTACTCCACTTCACTTCACACTCCCGTCTGACTCTCGCAGTTTGTATTTATGAGAGAAGGAAGAGTTCATTATGCTGTAAGAGGGTTTACCACAACAGATACATATTTTGGATTGTAACAATGATTATTTTTGGTGTGTTAAAATTACATTAACATTTTTTTTTCAGAATAACAATAATTTTTCAGATACAAGTCCCACTATTTAAACCGTAGATTGTGGAGGAGATATTTCTATTTCTTTTCCGAGGGTATTTGTGCATAAGTAAATTGATGTAATGGAATAACCCAACACCCCCATGAATGATTACACTATAAGTGTAGTAAGTACCTATAAAGTCAACTGTCTACGAGAGACTCGGGGAAAAGAGTGAAAAGACGCAAGCAAGTCCGACCTTCCTATTAGTAGTACTCATTACTAGATTGACCTGTGTGTAACTGTACCGTATTTCATATTGTACTGGTTGTGTACAATAAACCTTTCTTCTTGTATCCACCTGGTGTTATGTGTTGATTCCCTTAGCACGGAATATGACAGTGGCGACGAGGATTGTCGGAACATAACATAAATAAAACGGAACCGGCTGGAAGTCCAACTCTGCTTTCCGACCTCTCATTTCGATCCGCTATATATTATATACACCACCCACACATCTCAATAGTGATGCAAGATTAGTTTGCTCACCATTGTTCCATAATGAAAAACCCCAATTACCTATGATAGTGTCACATGACCTGTAAATATTCTTCGTCGTTTCATCGTGACTTTCTCAAGATGTCTAGACTGATCTTAAGGAAAATTTGATTTCTAATCTATCCACGAAACTAAAATCTTCTAAGCTCAGGAAATATATCCGTTCTCCAGCTTTTCCGGGATGGAGTATCCCTAATCCAGAAGTTTCTTGAATTAATCCGGTTTTCTTAAATATATGTAAATGTCATGTAAGCAAATATATGTGCCGGTATGAAACAACGAAGATAAGTTTTGTATTAAGGAAATACTGTATCATCTTTTAATATTAATATGGATTAATGAAAAACTTGAAACAAGAAAATGGCTATAAAACCGAATCGGGAAAAATTATTTTCTAGACAAAATCGACTGAGCAAAAGTCAAATGAAAATAATGAGAAACTAAAAAGTACTGAGAGCAAAAGCATACATCTGCCAACTGAAAACTGTCACAAAAAAAAACTGAATGAAAATCTGTTCGTGCATAGACTATTCAGGGGAGGCAACTGCGCAAGTTTCAATTTTTCATTCATTTCTAAATTAAATAGAAGGGAATCTTGGTTCACGAATTTAATTCGTTTCTGAAGGCCATTCGTGACTCGAAAAGTTCGTAAACCCAAATTATTTTCCCCATAGGAAACAGTGTAAAATGGCTTAATCCATAGCTGAACCTCAGATGATTGCTTATTTAAATTTTTACGATAGTACTTTGTGAACAAGTTCATACATAAAACCAATGAAAATCATTAAATCAAATAAAAAAAAAAGAAAAACCGAATACTAAAAGGTAAAATATAGACGGAATTTAATTTTACAGTAGCTGTGCGGAGCGGAGGGGGGGAGTTAATGTTGTAAGTGGGAGGTGGTGAGGAAGGGCAAAAGGAGAGATGTTATTGCGTGACAAGGGATTCCCCTTCCATAAAATATCAGATAACACTCTTTCTTGTGTTTATTCTCTTTCTTTTTTCTGTTCTTAGCAGAACTCGAATCTGCTTGAGATTCACTGGCACTCTGTCTCACTAAAAAAAATTATCCAACATTTGGTTTGGAGTACGTTTTAAAATGTTTCTAAAAGAAGGCATGGCATTGAAAATGTTTATGCTATGTCTTGCCCCTGTTTATCAAGGTGATATCGTTCCACAGAACTTTGCACCTCGCCGCATTTTGCACAAATGACACCGACTTGCGTGTTCATCGCTGGAGACCCCCGCTCGTCACTCGAGAAGTTTTTCGTTCGGAAAATTTGTTCGTGAACCGATTTGTTCGCGATGAGAGGCATGAATGAACCTAGGTTCCATTGTATATAAAATATCATTCAGTCAAAGTATTCGGGGATATTTCCCAAAATTTAATCAGTTGTTCTTTGCCTCATGATCCATTATTCTTGTTATGGTCCGGTTCCTTGTACCACGGTGATAGTCCAAGGTAGAACCAATAGAGAAGAACTCGAACACAGGTATGAAATAACACCGATATATTACAAACAGGAATATATACAGAGAAGTAGAAAGTGTTAGTATGAATAATCAGGTTTAGTAGAGAGAACAATGTAGTCTCAACCAGTATCACTATTCCAATGTCTTGCAGTAATTGTCTGAACGCGACTCTGTTTCGGACTGCCTCTGACTCGACTCTTGACTCGACTTGAACTACTGACTCGACTTGAACGACTGACGATATTCAGTCACCCCCCCCCCACGAGGACGTCATGTGGCACAAAGCCTTTTTAACGTTGGTTCCTCCCCGCCCAAAGGCAGAGAGTTCAACCGATCAGCCGATCGACCGACTCCTTGCTTACTTCTGAGGCGCAGTATTTATTAAGTATGGAATAGTCCATTATTATTATTATGGGTAAGATCCCATAACACCCCACCTCCCGAAGCTTTTGCGTAGCAGGGTCTATTTCCAAAGGTTCAGTGAATTTTCTTTTTCTTGACGATTTTCTTGGTTCTGGCATTGTTTGCGGTCTTTTTATATCGAATGTGTCGAAAATCGTGTCCAATACCTCTTCTTGATGTGGACCGTTTGTATCCTGTAATGGTCTCTTCCTTATTTGGTTTACGTGTCTTCTGTGTGAGAATTTTTTTCCTTGTACTATGTACAATTCTTGACTTTTCTATCTGTTACTTTTGATTGTATAAACCTCCAAATTTTCTGACCTGAGTTCATATCCGACGACTGCCCAGTCAAAATGATTTTGTCAGCCATATTGTGTGTGTGTGTGTGTGTGTGTGCGAAAGTAACCGCGAAAAACATTCAAATTGGCAGTTGCTCTACACTCTGTTGTTAACAGAAGCAAGAAATGGTTTGTTAATTTTAACGCCTCCAAAACGAAACAGCTATCTTTTAACCGTCTGAGTGAACCGTTTTTACCTTCCATCAGCATGGCTGATGCTAACCTCCAGAAAAGTAACTCATTGCCCTTTCTTGTACAAACGTTTTCCGCAGACATGAACTGGAAAGATTATATTGAATCAACTGCTAAGAATGTTGATAAGAAAGTTGGTTCACTGTGTGATGCAAGACAATTTTTCTCGACAGAATCTATCTTACATATTTAAGTCTACCATTCGTCCTTACTTTGAATATTGCTGTCACATCTGGTCTGGTGCTCCTGCTATATATTTAGAGATTCTTGATAAAATTCAAAGAAAAATCTGCAATGTTATCGGTGCTGACCTGGCATTTCGACTTCAGGCACTTTACTACCGCTGTAATGTAGCTCTCCATATGATTTTCTGTACTTCCATGGTAAATGTTCTGATGAACCTTCCGCTGTAGTACCAAAACTTTATTAATTTAAGCGCAGTACTAGATTGGCGGCAAGGTCTCATCGTTTTACAATTGAAATGGTTAGATATAGCTATAAGTTCTTCGCTAACAGTTTCTTCTATTGCACTGTTCGCTTGTGACTCTCTCTCCCGGCTTCTTTCTTCCCAGTCAAGTTTGATCTTTAAAAACTTAAATGTAATGTCAATCGTTATCTTCTGTATTCTTATTTCATGTTCTTTTATTGTTGTCTCTCATTAATGATGTTTTTTTCTCATACTCTTTAACACTCAGTAACCCCTTGCGTCTTAGTGGCTTTATGTTGTGTCGGAAACCTACCACCCCTCTGGAAGATGAACTTGTTTGCGAACAAAGACTTTAAATAGTGGCATGTCGAGAGACAGATAGACAGAGAAGCCCTTAGCTGGTGTTCTTTTTTTGCTTTTACACCGCTTCTTCTCCTGACCAGTGTTAGACATTTTTTGCTGTCTGCCAAAGGACTATTTTTTCAATTTTGCTGACTGCCTTAATTTAGTTAAGTTTTTTGATTTAATTGTTTACCATTTTTCTAACGTGATTTTTTTTGACTCTTTTGTTAAATTTGTCATTTTTCGAACTTTCTTATTTTGACCTTTTGTTTTTTCCTTTTCATTTCCTTTCCCTTTTTTACCGTTACTTCTTTTTTTGTTATTAATTATTTCTGGTTTTTTTTTTTATTTACGTTTTACTTTTTCCGTGTTAAGTCTATTTTTTCAGTACCCACACCCCGGAGTTTTTCTGTTTATTTTTCGTTTCGTTTGACCTTTTAATTTTTTAATTATTACGTGTTAATTATTTCTGTGTTACCTGTTTAAAAAAAAAAAAAAAAAAAGTCTACGTGTTTATAATATTTGTTTAAATTTTTTGTAATTTCTGTCCTCCTCATTTTTTTTTAACGTTTTTTCTTTATTGGGTTGACCGTTTTTTAGCGGCAGGCATTTTGTAAATTGTAACTTTTTTTTTGTTTCGTACGTATTGCGTTTTCTCTTTTCCGTTTATAACTATTAGTTTTTAATTTGTGGCTTTTTGTCTGTTGTACTTTTTAATTTTGTTCGTTCTTCGTTTTGTGAACCTTGTTCACATTTTCTCGTTTGTCCAATTGTTTTACCTGTTTACATTTTTTTTGCACACGTCCTTCTGTTTTATTGTCTGTTGATATTAGCAAACCTTTATTTTTACCCTCCCTTTTTTATTTTTTTTTTTTTTCCTCCCTCCGCCTATAAGGCGGTTCCCACCCGTATTTATCCTCCCCTTCCTTATTATTTAATAATGGATAAAAAAAGGAAAAAAAGCCACCCTCCTTTTTGGCTATAAAGAAAAAAGCCCAATTTATCGGGTTATAAAAAGACTATTCGTAAACACTTGTTTAACCCTACCAAGAAAAGACCCCGGACAAAGATAACTTAGATGATTTTCCTGCGCTCGAAATTACTTCCCTAGCAACATTGATACTGCTGGAAAAAAGAAAAGAGAAAAATATTTCGACGGAAGCCAATAATGGCAATAATGGCAATAAGGAAAAGGTTATACCTATGGAGGCCAATAATGGCCAAAACATTGTAGAATCCGAAAGGAACCGCAACTGAGCCTGAGGCCGGGGAATCGCCCTCTTGTTGGTCGTCCCCTCCTAAGTGCATTATCAATTTAGCGGAGTTCTTGGAGCGTGCCAAAAGTTACGCACACCTTTTGTTGTAGAAGGTGGACTTTTGGAAGACCCTCAAGAATTGAAGAAAATTGACAAAGAATAGTGTCGGTTTTCGTCGTGGACAAGCGTACGCGCAAAATTTGTCGCTCGACGAAAAACACAGTGTTAAAAGCACTGGAATCCTTTGGGTTCAAGCCCCTTAGAATAGTTAAGGGACCCAAATTTTTCATGTGGGACGTGCTGTTGCCCACACCAGAAGATTGCGTCGCCGCGGCTAGCCGCGAGCTAATCAACAAAGATATTATACTGCGTACAGAGTACGAAGGCCGACGTAAGACCAGAGTAACGGTATACGAGGTCCCTCCTCAGGTTATCGGGGAACATCTCGCGGCGTTCTTCTCTCAGTATGGCGAAATTCTGGGAGCTTCCCGTGATAGCCTGAGCGGGGGGTGGAGCTTTGACATCATGTTGGACGAGAAAGCCTTCCGCTCCATCCCCAACTGTCTGGATGTTGGCGTTTTGAAATTACCGGTCATCGTGACGGGTCGAAGACCGGTATGCTGGAGGTGTGGAGTGACTGGTCATCTCCTCCTCCTGCCCAGAGAAGAAGGCCTCTGGAAGTCAAGCGCCAGTTACTCAAGATCCCCCTCTGACCGCGTCTCTAAATTCCGCCTCGTCTGTAATGGGCGTACCAGCCTCCGGGACCGGGTCGGTTAATCCTCCTGTCGGCGCGTCATCGGAAGCCACATTCCCCAAAGAGCCTTCGCCCGCTGCCGGTGCAGTTGTGGAGAAGGGGGAGGGGGAATGGCTGGTTGCTGGTAAGGCCAGAGGGAAGCGCCGGACAGCGGGTCCTCAGTCCCCTGAAGCCCCAAGGAAGAAAGGCACATACAGCCCCACTCCCTCTAGCAACGTTAAGGGCGATGCCCCGGCCTCTGATTTGAAATTTCAAGAGATGCAAAGAAGATTCGATCCTGGATTTGAAAAATCAGAAAAAATAAAAGAATTAAAAAAGCAACTCGATTCAAAAAGGAAAGACCCAATCCCTTCAACGTCCTCTACTAGACCAACCCCTTCACCGAAGAAACAACCCCCACCATCGTCTGCTATTTCACCTTCCAAAGCTAAACCCAACAGTAGAGATCCCAGCCCCTATAGGCATAGATCCTTTTATACCCCTATGAATACACCCACTCCTTCCCCGTTAAACAAAAAAATCCCACCCCCTTCATACCCCCAAGCAATCACCGGCAAAAAATGCCGAGATGCCTCCTCCTGCACCGAAGCGGCAAAGAAGCCCCACTCAAGAAGCTAAAGAGGTAAAAAAGAAAGAAAAAAAGATTTTTTTTAACTCAGGAGAGGAGGTGTGCTGCATTTCCCCAGCCCAGGCCGAGAGAGCCAGAGATTATGGCAATAGGGTTAAAGACCTCAAATACCTTCTCTCGATTAAGCATTTTGCTGACCTGGACATAGAGGATCCGAAAAAACTTTCCAAATGCCCAGAGGGTCCTGACAGTTATTAGGTCAGGACCTGCGGCCAATCAAACTTGGGCGATGGTAGAGGAAGCCGTAAATGCGTGTAAGATGGCTTTTACCCATTGCCATTGTTGAGAATGATAATTTAAAAAAGTTACAACAGTTCTGTGCAGGAGGGTCCCTGTTTTAGTTCACCCATCCCTATATAGAGCTCTTAAATTGACCTTCCCCCTGGGATATCGGTGGTATCTCCCAAGACGGCACCATCAAGAATGAGATGGGCCATGGGTCTATGGGAGAGGCTGTCGGTATCCTTACCCCCGGCCATGTTTAATGCTGGTAAACAACCCTAATCGGACTTCTCATGGCTCTCTGGTTAGCTACGTTAAATGTGCGGGGCCTGAGGTCCGAGTCTCGCAGGGCGAGGCTCTCTCGTGACCTTCAGCGCCTCGGGGTGAATGTTTGTTGTGCAAGAGACCCGGTTTTCTTCTCATGACTGTGAGGATATACTGTCTAAGTGGTTCGCCCTTTATTCAGCATGTTTTGATGGTCGTTCGAGGGGTGTCTCTTGGCTAGTGAGCAAGTCTTTGAAGGCTGCATGTTCCCTTGTCTTCGCAGATCCGGCGGGCAGGCTTTGTGTGCTGGATGTTACTATAAAGGATAAGGCTTTACGTCTCATTGGGGTTTATGCGCCCAATAGTCATGCTGAGCGGCCTGCTTTGTTTCGGCAGATCGAGCCGTTTTTGAAGACTTCTCGTCGGGTAGTCTTAGCGGGGGATTGGAATGCCGTCCTTGACCCTGAGATAGATCGTATAGGTAAAACACCGGGTACTAAAAATCCTGATGTGAAGGCATTTCGGGACTTTATCGGCAGGTTTGATCTTGTCGATAAGTACCGGAATGAGCACCCTCAGGACGTAGCATGGACTTGGACAACTAGTGGCGACTCGGCTCCTGGCTCGCTTGCGAGCTACCTGACCGAGTGTTAGTTAGAGAGTCGACGTAGGGCTCTTAGAGTGTCCAAGTTTCCATTATATAGTTTACACGGATCATAGGCTTGTCCGGGTCCGTGTAAACTTAGATAAGCCTAAGGTTAGATTGGCTGGTTACTGGAAATTTAACTGTTCACTTTTTGGTGAGCAGGATTTCCGGGACCAGCTGCTACTAATGATTCAGAGGGAATTGACGGGGCGGTTGTGGGTAACGCCTGGTGGGGAAAAATTAAAATCAAAAATTAGAACGTTTGCTGCCGATTTTAGTCGTCGACTCAATCTAGATAGACTAGCGGCGCAAACGGCATTAGAAGATAAAGTTGATCGGGCCGTCAAATCCCGTGTTAGTGGGGACATAGTCTTAGCTAAGGCAGAGTTGGCCTTGCTTATCAAGAAGGATCAAGCTCTGGTAGTTAGGGCTAGGCTAAAAAGAATGTCTTCTGAGGCGACGAATATGGCCGCTGAATTGCGTGCAGAGGAGAATAGGAACGCGGCTAAGCGACATATAGCGTGCGTCACATTGCCGGATAAGCGGACCGTGACTACAAGCGCGGGCATATGCGAGGCCTTTCGGCTTTATTTTCAGGATCTTTTCACCAGGGAGCCCGGTCTGAGCTCTGCTCAGTTCGATGCCTATTTGGCTGACTTTCCTGCCTTGAGGCAGCTGAAGCGGCTAGGTGCGAGGGTCCCATAACAGAGTCGGAAATCTGGGATGCGCTGAAGCAGGTTGGCCTGGATAAGTCTCCGGGACTAGATGGACTTCCCTACGAAGTGTACTTTGAGGCTGTCGCCCATTTTTGTTCCTTTGCTGCAGCTGATTTACAACCACTGGATGAGGCAGGGGTCTTTACTTCGACGCTTCACCAGGGGTGTGATCAAGTTGTTGCGTAAGGACAAGAACGGTGGGGATGGGTTAGGGAACTTTCGCCCTTTGACGATGTTAAATACTGACTTAAAGATTTTGGCGAAGATCTTAGCCAACCGTTTGCAGCTTGTCCTGTCTCGTCTGATTGGCCCCGAACAGACTTGTGCTGTGAAGGGCAGGACGATTCAGGATAACCTTCATATGGTACGCTTGATCTTAGAACAAGTCGACAGTGAAGCCGCGCTGATCAATTTAGATCAGTCCAAGGCCTTCGATAGGGTTGACCATCGGTTTCTGGAGGCTGTCCTGTCGGCGGCCGGTTTCGGAGCCGACTTTCGCTCCTGGATCTGGCTCTTGTATGCGACCCCGGTGCGCTGGTGGAAGTGAATGGGGTAAGGTCGGAGCCTTTCGTATTGTCTCGCTCCATTCGTCAAGGTTGTCCGCTATCGCCCTTGTTTTACGTTCTTGCGTTGGAACCATTCCTTCGCAAGTTAAAGGCGAATCCGGTCCTGCGCGGAATTACCCTGCCTGGCGCTACCACCTCGGCCAGGTATTCTGCCTATGTTGACGACGTTTCGGCTCTTGTGTCGAGCAGAGCCGAGATTGACGAAGTCAGCAAAGAAATAAGTGGGTATGAGATGGTGACAGGGGCCAAGATCAACCGTGATAAGTCTGTGGGCTTAGGTGGTTGGGTGCGTGGAAGGGAGTTTTCTTCCTGGACCTTTCCTCTGGACGGATGGGCCGATCAAAATACTCGGCGTCTGGTTCGGTCCTGATCTCCAGTTGAAATGAACTGGTCGGAGGTACAAGGAAGGCCGAGATCGCGGTTAATCTGTGGTCTCGGAGGAGACTTTCCCTGAAGGGAAGGGCGGAAGTATGTGTTTCACACATCTATCCGATCCTCCTCTACCGACTCTCTGTGCTTCCACTCCCGTATGCCTGACTAATGTCATTAGTCAGGACCTTGTTCTCTTTCTTGTGGAGAGGCAAGGCCCCTATGGTATCTCGCGAGGTCTGTTGCCTCCATCCCTCTGAGGGCGGTCTGGGGATGCCTAGCATTGAGATCCGTCAATATAGTCTTCGCATTACTTTTTTAGACCGAATGTGTCGTGGGTCGAATGAGGAGGGTGCCTTTTGGAAAGAAGACGTCCAGAAACATTTTCCATCCCTGAAAAGTGTGCACTCGTGCGAACAAGAGGCCGGCCGTTTACCACGTGCCGAGTGCTCTTTTTATCGTGAATGTCGTCGCGCTCTGAAGCTCCTCTTACGGGCTTCGGATGGTCTCTCCAACGCCCAGGCGTTGTCTCGCAAGGCATTATATCAAGTTTTAGTTAGGGGGTCCGTTCAAGATGATCTGATTGGCGAGCTCGGTCTTACGAAGCAGGAGGCTCGCTCGATATGGCCTTGGGCGCCTGGGTTGAAATGTCTCAATAATGATGAGGCATCACTCACCTGGCTGGTGATTCGTGAAGCCCTCTGGGTCGGCAAGAGACTTTGTTCAGCAGGCTTGGAGAAATATCCAAACTGTCGTCGCTGTACGGGGGAAGTCGAGACTATTGGTCACGCCTTCTTTCAGTGCAAGGCGGTAGTGCCGTTGTGCAAGTTTATTGAAGGCCTCATGGTTCGCATGCTGCATAGAAAGTTCTTTGTCCTGGAAGCCAGTTCTGTTTGTAGCAATGTGGTGCCGCAGATGACGAAGGTTGAACACTATGTGTTCTGTTGCTTACTAGGGGTTATGAGAGTCGTGATTTGGACGACGCGTCAGAAGGGATTCCATGAGGGCGAGAAGTTCACTTCTTCCCAACTGATCTTGTTCTTTAAGCATCAGCTTAAAGTCAAGATCAGGACGGAAAGGCGGCGGCTCACCTCATCGGAATTCAGCAAAAGGTGGGTGATTCTTGCGCGAATGTGCCGAGTAAAAGGGCTGACCTTGAGTGGCATCTGGATGCCGGTTAGGCATTAAGGATATTGTTTTCCTGGGTTGAACATAGGCAACCCATCCCGGAGTTAGGTTAGATTAGGTTTTTGTATTTTTTCTTTTAGTTTTTCTATTCTGGTAAACTTAGCTAGGGTGTATTTGCTCATTGGTCCCTTTTATTTCTGTCCGCATTTTCTTTTCCTTTAGTTTAACTCCCCATCCGTTCCCTCGTTTTTTAGGTGGTCAGTGATGTCAGTTCTCTGGTAGATGCGGGGCGCCTTTCGTTTCGTGTGTGTGTTTTTCGTACTTGTTGTTGTGTATGAATGAGTGTGTGCCTGTGTGAATGCTTGGGAAGAATGAGTGTCCTTATTTTCATAAGTCCTGCATCGATTTCGTCCAGTTAACTGATATTTCTGCCACATTCAAGAGTTTGTGGGGGTTTTATTACTAACACTAATTTTATTTGGTTTCTTGTAAATATATTTTGTCATTTTGTATATATTCATTGGGGTTCATTTTTAAAAGTTGTTGTTTTTATGCCCCTCCCCCACGGACAATATTTTGTACATAAGGGGATTATTTAGGTTTTTTTCATGGAGTCAAAGAGGCATTTTGGTGTTTGTAGTAAGAAAGGTATGGATAAATGTGTTGTTTTGGTGAAAGGAATATTGTTTCTGTATGATAGGGTCAGTGATTGTGGCTAGCTAAGTTTAATCTAAGACTAGTGATGACCGTCCTTTACCCCAATCCCCTTTTCGGCCTTGTGCCACATTTGTACATATTTGCAATAAATAAATAGAGAAGTTCTTAGCTGACTTCCAACGTTCGTCGAACTCTCTGCGTTTGAAGAGGAACCTGGACGAAGCTTTGCCGAAGGGCAAGGTTTCGTCCGGGGAGGTAGACAGATTTGAGCCCGTTTAATCGGTTTCAAAAGGTTATTTTTTTTGGCCGAGCCTACGGGCTCGGGGAAACCCACAATAAAACCGGCCTTGTGCCATATTCGTTTCCCGTGGGTGAAATGATAAATACCCAGAGAAGTTCTTAGCTGAGCTAGTTATTGACTACTCAGGCGATTTCTGTACCTTTTTACCAACCTATTAAAACCCTTTTTATTGTTACGTGTTATTTGGCGTTTGTCTCTACTAACCCCAAATCAACATCATAACACTTTATAATCCTGATTGGGATGAAATGATTTTAAAAACATTAATATTTTCATGCGGCTGATTCCACTAGTATTACGATGTCTATTCACATCATTCATAGAGTGATTTAAGCATTGAAATAATCAAAATTAATACATATTTTGTAACACTTTCGTTTCCTTTTTTCTTTTTTCGTTGTTTTCTACGTTTGATTGCGTTTTCACTTTCGCTCTTTCATTTCCATAATTACTTGCCACTTTTCTTCTTCTTTTCCTATTACGTCCTTTCTTTTCTTCTTTTCTTCTTTTCTTCCTTTCATCCTATTACGTCTTTTCTTTTTCTTTTCTTCTCTTCCTATTACGTCCTTTCTTTTCTTCCTCTTTTCTTTCTTTTCTTCCTCTTTTCTTCTTCCCTTCCTATTACATCCTTTCTTTTCTTCTTTTCTTTTTTCTTTCATTTTTTTCTTGTCTTTCTTTTCTTCCTATTACGTCCCTTCTTTTCTTCTTTTCTTTTTTCTTTCTTGTCTTTCTTTTCATCCTATTACGTCTTTTCTTTTCTTTTTCTTTTCTTCTCTTCCTATTACGTCCTTTCTTTTCTTCCTCTTTTCTTTCTTTTCTTTCTCTTTTCTTCTTCTCTTCCTATTACCTCCTTTCTTTTCTTTCTTTTCTTCTCTTCCTATCACGTCCATTCTTTATTTTCGTTACATTCTTTCTTTCATACGTTCATCTTGTTTTTTCATTTATATTTGATTTCTTTCACTTTTTTCTGTTCTTTTCCTGTTCTTTCTTTCTTTCTTTGGTTTACATGTCTTTCTATTTTATCCTTTCTTTATTTCTAATTGCTTCATTTACATATTTCTTTCTTTTCTACCCTTTCTTTCTTTTACTTTTTACTTCCTCGTTTACCCAATTTATTTCTTGTTCGCTTCTGTTTTTTCTTTTCTTTCTTTCTTTCTTTCTTTCTTTAAAATCCTTGTCTTACTTCTTTCTTCTTAGGCCTCTTTGTCTTTTCCTCCCTTTCTTTCTTAAGCATCCTTGTCTTTCTTTCTTTCTTTCTTCCTCAAACACTCTTTCTGTCTTTCTTCCTCAAACACCCCTTTCTTTCTTTCTTTCTTTCTTTCTTTCTTTCTTCCTCAAACACCCCTTTCTTTCTTTCTTTCTTTCTTTCTCAAACACTCTTTCTTTCTTTCTTTCTTTCTCAAACACTCTTTCTTTCTTTCTTTCTTTCTTTCTCAAACAAAATTTTTTCAAATTTTCTTTCTTTCTCAAACACCCTTTCTGTCTTTTTTTCCTCAAACACCCTTTCTGTCTTTCTTCCTCAAACACCCCTTTCTTTCTTTCTTTCTTTCTTTCTTCCTCAAACACCCTTTCTGTCTTTCTTCCTCAAACACCCCTTTCATTTTTTTTTCTTTTTTTTTTCTCAAATATTCTTTTTCTTTCTTTTTTTTTCTCAAAACACCCTTTCTGTCATTCTTCTTCCTCAAACACCCTTTTCTTTGTTTTTTCTTTTTTTTTATTTTCTTAATAAATTGACTTTTTATCTTTATTAAGTATCCTTGCCTTTTTACTTTCCTCTTTTTTTCTTTCTTCCTTAAGCATCCTTGTCTTTATTTCTTCTTTCTTCTCTTTTGTTTTTTTCTCTTTTCTGTTTCCTTAACTATCTAATTGTTTCCTTTCTTCACGTAAACTTTCTTCTTCTTCTTCTTCTTTGTCGTCATCTTTGTTTAATTTTTTTCATAATATTTTATTCTTATTTTTGATTTCAGGTGTAAAATACCTTGACGAGTGCCCTAAAGAACCAAAAGTTCCCATCTACCTCCTGGTTGGTGGTTCGTTCGGCGTTCTCAAACTGATCTTAGTGCTATGGCGCCAGGTGAAATACCATCGTTATGAGTACGACGACCACTTCACCGATCCGAGCACCCTCTTCTCGGCGTCTCACGTGACGCACTGGGCGTTGAGTGTGTTCCTCGCCATCTGGTTCGCGTTCGGCAATTACTGGCTCTACTCGATATGGAAACCGCATTTCAACGCCCCGCTGCACGAACCACGCAACTGGTGCTCAGAGACTGTTTTTCGCTTCACCTTCTGGCAACTGGTCACATGTCACATCTTGGTCGGCTGCTTTCTCCTCCTCACCTTCACACTCCTCATTTCCTACAGATGCTACAAAATTTGCAAAATGGAGAAGAATTAAAAGGGGTTAACATAAAGAAAAAAAAACTAAATTTAAATTAAAGGAAGGAAGATTTTTTTAAGAATTATGAAAAGACAGAAGTAAGCTGAAATAAAATAAACCAGAATAAACGAATAATAAAAGAACAAGAATAGAAAACGTTTCGAACTTCAACATATTACGAAAATGACCATCCCTCTAGCTTTTAATTCATCTATTCTTTTTACACACCCACACACCAACACAAATTAATATATATATATATATATATATATATATACAACTTCTACAAACGAATATATAAATATATTCGTTTTATTTATTATATATATATATTATATATATATTATATATATATATATATATATATATATATATATGTTATAATATATATATATATATATATATATATGTGTGTGTGTGTGAATAAAAAAAGAAACATGAGAACTAACTATTCTTAGCTGACGTTTCGTCCTTTGAGGGACTTTATCAAGACAATGCCTCAGAGGACGAAGAGCCTCGGCTAAGAATATATTTTAGAATTTTTGTCTCTTTTTATTCATCTTGTTTCCTCAACAGATACACTCTATCTGAGAATATTTACACACACACACACACACATATATATATATATATATATATATATATATATATATATATATATATATATATATACATAATATATATAAAATATTAAAACAAATTCGAATAGCTTATTTTATTATAGAAGACCTATATTGCGATTGTCTTCTTGTTGGCTGAAATAGCTATTCGAATGAGGTAAATTTGGATTTCTATTGTATGTAATTTCTAGGCTCTGTTATAATAAATTCATTGAGCTCTTTTTGTGAATCAGTTTTAATATTTTATATTACGATTCAATTGGTTTACATACCAACGGGTTATTGCCTATATATATATATATATATATATATATATATATATATATATATATATATATATATATTAGTGGAAAGAAGTATGATAAAATGGGAAAAGTTTTTCATGAGACTCTGTTTTTTTTTACGACTCCATCGGATTTAATTTATATTAACGTTGAAGCGACTACACATGCGCATCAAAATAAATATAAAATTATCCGATGAAGTCCTAATGGGCGAAACCTGTCAAACGAAAATGTTTTATATATATATATATATATATATATGAGTGAGCCAGACAAACCTACCTAGGTTTCAATTTAAACGGATCGTCACCAAACTTTCCCTGACGATCCGTTTAGGTGAAACCCAGGTAGGGTTGTCTGGCTCACTAGGTGTATCTAGGTCTGCTCTACGGTTGTATTGAGCTTTTTTGTTAGTTGTTACTCGTATCGGGGTTTTTTTCTTTGGGCTTCAGACCTGCATCTGTGCGATTTTTTTTTGTCGGCAGAAGTCCATGTTTGTAGCTCTTTCTTTTTTAAAACCTTTTTTCCCTCGAGATTGATTTGATTAGCAAATCAAAAATTCGAGGGTTTTTCGAAACGAGTCTAGTTATCTATATTTATATATATATATATATATATATATATATATATATATATGTATGTATGTATGTATATATATTCATGTATATATATATATATATATATATATATATATATATATATATATATATATATATATATAGGTTGGAGGCCTGAGGTCAACGCCTAGCGTCGGCAGTCTGAAGATTACGTTCATGTTTGAAACAGACTGCCGGCGCTTGATGTGGACTTCAGTGTCCATTTTTATATTTTCATACACTACCCTGATATTGAACGCTTTTACACCTTAATATATATATATATGTGTGTGTGTGTGTGTCTAATGACAATAAAAATGCTCTTTTAATGTATGCTATATTTATCGGTAAAAGTGCTCAATATCAAAGATAGAGCGTATGTAAATATAAAATTGAGCACTGACGTCATACCAAGCGGCTATTCGTTGTACAAGTTTGGCTAAAAACTGACGGAAATTTTTTGTTATGGTTTTTCGTTTGTTTATTAATTTTCTTTCATATTTTGTATTATTTCTTGCTATCTGGTGAAAGTTTAAATCTAATTTTTCCAATGTCTGTGTACTTTCAGCGTTCACAAGCCATAATCAAATGTTATTAACAAAAGTCCTAAATATATTTCATAAAAAATAAAAGGACACGACATGAACTCACGCGTGAAAACGTGATACTTAATAAAATGACATGACGTGTGAAAACGCAATACTTTAAAAATTTTAAACTCGTATAGCAAAATTGATGATTTGTTTTTTACGGCTTATCACCCCTTTGTCGGTTATTTAGATGCAAATCTTATTTTGGACTGGATAAATAATTCTTTTTTTTTTCTTTTCAGAGTCAATTAACAATTCTTTTAGAATAAAAATGATTTTCCCAGATACAAGTCCTACTAATTAACCCATTGTTGAAAGGAGGAAGTGGATTCATGCCTTTCCCATTCTATCCATTTCCCCACACGCACATCCAGCCAGTCATAGCTGAAAGTACACAGACATTGAAGAATTTATATTCAAATTTCACAGGAAGCCTGGAAACTAGTCCGAAATATAGATAATTAACAAAGACCTTCCGTATAAATGTAAGTTTGCTGCTAAAATACCCTCTCTCTCTCTCTCTCTCTCTCTCTCTCTATATATATATATATATATATATATATATATATATATATATATATATATATGATTTCTTGAACTGGCTTCTAATGCTCTAGAGTGAGCGGCTTGGTGAGAGTAGTCGTGGCTCCAAGAGGCACAGTCCTATGGTTACAGAGAACTCAGTATGAGTTCCACCACGGAATATGTGAGCGAGCGACGCTATATTGAGTCTGATTTGCAATCTCTTCGTCACCGAGGCCCGATGATGTTTGCTTGACAACCTAACTGTCAGGGTTTCAATTCTCGGTAGTGGATGCGCACTGCTGATGAGTCCCAAATATAGGCCGAAACGTCCGTCCAGTGCATTCTGCATTCTGTTGAGGTTTCTTTCAGACTCGATGAATTAATTAAATATAATTATCAAATCCTCCTAATAATTTCTATCTATATATATATATATATATATATATATATATATGAATTACATACATAAAAATAAAACTCAACTGTAACCCATTTATATGGCCATTTCGCTCCTCGAGAGATTTCTTAGAGAAATTCTCTGGGGCTTGTCAATACTAAATCTTTTGGTAAATGAATCATAACGTTTTTTGTGGATCAGTTTTAATATTTTATATTATGAGGATTCATTTGGATTACTTACCAACGGATTTTTACCTATATATATATGTGTGTGTGCGTCTGTGCGTATCTGTACATTTCGAAAGCCATTATATTGCTGACTATTTTTTCTTACATCTTACTTACGTTGCCTTTTTTGCGCAACATCTGGGCGTTTTTATATTCTACGATTATTAAACTCTTGCACTTGACCATCTTGCTTCGGATGACTTAGCTTAATTCATGCTTTTTTACTGATAGTTCATCCAATAAAAGGTCCAACAGCCAGTCAAGGTAGAGGGCCACTGAGTAATATTGTACGAGAGGAATGGAGGGGAAGGAAGAGAGTATTAAGACGACGGGTAGGATAGATATCAGTTGAGCCTGGACTTAAAGTGACTAAGATTCTAGTTGTCAGGTGTATCCAGAACATTCGCCGTAAACATTTCCGCCGTAGGAAACTTCGCCGTATAGGATTTTTGCCCTAAGACAATTTCGCCGCATTTTTTCTATTTTTTTTTTTTTTCGGTACCCTTATCTTGAACGTCTCTTTTGGAGTAATGTTTAATTTAATATGCGAAGTACCTTGCTATCAAGTATATATGGATGTCTTTTTTACAGGGTCAAACATCAGAAAACAAATTAAAAAATAAACATTTATTTAAAAAATAAACATTTATTTAAAATATAAAAGACAAAAAATATATCAAAATAACAAAGAAATAATTTAAATGTGTCCAAATTCCAAGCAATGCTTCGTAAATAATATGTTTTTTTGGGGGTGGGGGTTGCCTGGGATTGTAATGAAGCATTGATATCGATATATATTTTGTTTTGCACTACATCTGCTCGATCTAAATCACGCTTTTTCTTTTTTACTAATGTCACTTCCTTTTTTCAAATACGCAATTAGTTTCCACAAATTTGTGTGCATATTAATACCAGTTCGTTTATTAAAATATTTAAATCGAAGTAATAATAGCGTGAGCCAAATATACTTGATAACAAGTTACTTCTGATATTAAAAAAAATGAGGCGAAATTATCTTACGGCAAAGTTTTCTCCGGCGAAAATACCTGAGGCGAGTTTTCCTACGGCAAAAACGTTTACGGCGAATTTTCCTAGAACCGTTGTCAGGAAAGTATTCTCTCGGGAGTTTATTCCTCAAAGTAACGGTTCTGGAAAATAAGCTGTATGAATTGAATCAAAGTTTGGTACGAAACTAAAAACATGGGGTAATCGTGAAGATTGAACCAATGATTCTACGTAGGAGAATAATTTGCTAACCACCGCTCGACAGTAAGTTATGTCACCGATACACGCGCGCACACGCACACACATACGGGGTTACTTGCTTAAAATAATGCCTCCTATTTATCTCTATGACAACTGCAACAGATACATAGAACCCAATATGTCCCTTGCATAAAGCAAGCACACTCCCCATCATGGACGCTGTCTGAAGCGGAAATCTTTCTTATGGGAGAGATCACATCCCCTCCGACTAATGGGTTGGGGAGGCTATCAAGTAGAAAAAAAAAGAATGAAATATTTCAATCAAAGTCTACCTGAAGAAGAAGATTCTAGCTAGGGAGTGGTTTTTGTTTTTTGGGGGGGATTTTTTTACAATATAGAAACCCACAAGTAAGACTCGTCACTTCAAACATACGTCAATCAACAAGAAGAATGTCTAGTTTAGAGACCATTAAATGCAGCTACTAAAGAAGGAAGGAAGGAATTATACTATAAAGAATAATACCGATAATCAAATACTATTCCATATATATATATATATATATATATATATATATATATATATAGGGTGGGGCAGGACTCCCTCCCACATATGGTTACTACAAATACCTCCCACATTATGGTAAGACATTAGTTTGATGTTAGACACCATTGCCGCTAATGCCACTGGCATCGCTGTCATCCAGACCTTGAACTTATCTGTTATTCAATCTCTCGCTCAAATAGTAGACTTCCCTACGCGTTTCCTTTGGAAAAAATCAAATGCAACGTCAATCGCCATCTCCTGTCTGCCTGATTCTTTTCCTTTATTATCCTTTCCTCACTTTTCCTCACCGAAGTCTTCCCGTTCTCTTTCATTCCCTTAAACCCCCTGCGTCTTTGTGATATTATTGGCTTGCTTGGGTGAAATGATATATATATATATATATATATATATATATATATATATATATATATATATATATATATATAGGTGTATCAAAAATAATTTTACAAAATTTGGGGTCGGGTACCTCACACTAAAGCCCATATAAACATATAGCCGAAAATCCTTCGTTTTTAGTTATTAAATTTAAAGAAAGTCTATGGTAGATAGCACTGTGTTGCTATGTAGACTAGGTTACATTTGTCATACGTGTACATTTTTGGCTAGTCTGTCTTCAACGTTTGACGTGTGTAGTGGTGAATTAACTTCGTATTGTTTCATTTAACAATGGTAAAATATATATTTCGTGAGCAGGTATATATGATTTTTACATACAGCAGCGCGAATAGTAATGGACGCAAGGCTGTACGGCCGTATCAGATTGCATTTCCAGACCGAAGATAGCCGAGTCATCCAACTTCTGCTGCTGTTTATCGTCGCATTGCTGAGACAGGATCCGTGGCACCACAAACTACGTACGCCTGACCTCGAATAATACATTCTACACGCTGTCGAAGACGATCCAGATATCAGCGCACGTCAAGTGACCCTAGCATATCGTACATATATTCCCTTATGGAGGGTACTTCAAGAGCATCTCCTGTATCCGTATCATTTGCAACGTGTTCAGAGTCTTTCGCCCTCTGATCACCCACCACTGGAGAACTTTTGTCGATGGTTTATTGCAAAAACTGCCGATCCGTTTTTTGTCTCTTCAGTCTTGTTTATTATTTACACAACCATCATTTGTGGGCGGATCCGAATTCACATGGTATAACACTGGCTAGACACCAGCATTCGTTTACGATTAATGTGTTGGGGAGAATTGTAGGTGACTGTCTGGTAGGTCTATATTTTCTCACAGCACTTCTTACATGAGCTGTCTACAGGTACTTTATTTCGAACACACTTCCAGACCTGCTAGAGAATGTACATCTGCTGATACAAGGACACATGTGGTTTATGCATGATGGAGCTCCAGCACATTTTAGTCACACTGTCCGCGATGCACTGACTGACATCTAACAAGAAATATGGACAGATAAGGAAGGAGTGGTTCCATGGTCTTCACGCTCCCTCGACCACGATCTTTTGGATTTTTATCTGTGGGGCCACCTAAAACAGTTGATTCATGCAGCAGACATTAATAATACAGAGACGCTTCATCAACGTGTCATAGGGGCCTGCAAAACTACTCGACACCGTGTTGGAGGAACTGAAAGGGTCTGCCAGTCAATGATCCAACGGGTGTATTCGTGTGTAGAAGCAAGCAGAGAACATTTTAACCATTTGTTATGAGTTGGTGTGTTGAGGTACAACGATGGCCTCTTGGCCATATGTTTATATGAACATTTTTACCTTATTTTGTTGACAGGAAACCAACCCAAAGTTTGTGAAAGTATTTTTGGGTTGTATCTTGGATTCTACACTTAACAGCGTCTACCGTAAACTTTGTACTTAATAACTCAAAAATGAAGGATTTTTGGAGATATGTTTATATGAACTTTTGTCCTTGTTTTCGTGTGAGCAACCTGCCCCAAAGTTTTTTTGATACACCCTACTATATATATATATATATATATATATATATATGTGTGTGTGTGTGTGTGTGTGTGTATGTATATATATATATATATATATATATATATATATATATATATATATATTGTTCGAATTTGCTCCATGCAAGGCAGTAAGCTCACGAAAATTCAAGCTGTTACTGGCTCTTTAACTGCTAAAATTATTTTTAAAGTCACCTGTGCATTTTATTAATTTTTGACTTCCTTTTTCTTATGGTTGGTGTTTTTACTTATATTGCAAAGCTCAGGTCGTTCTTTATATTCAACGATCGTCAAAGATGCAGCATGAACTACAAATAAAAAATTAACAGTGGATTATACTGTCAACAGTCCTGAGTGGGCCTCAGTTGCAGTCGCTGGGAGAGAGCGCATTATCTGGTGTGATCAACAGCCTGAACAAGGCCAATACGCTCAAACCCTCGGTGCTATTCGACTTCGTGCTATCACAATCATCGACAGCTCCCAAATAGTTCCATATACACAATTTTTACTCACAAAGCATGGGTCAGACATTTTCCAAAGGTGCAACACGCTAGGGTTGCCTCCCAAAGCCGATAATATCTTGAAGTCACCTTCATGACAAATCGATAATGGTCGGAAAGCGGACGTTCTAACCACTCGGCTAGACGCCCATATATATATATATATATATATATATATATATATATATATATATATATTATAAATTGATTTATTTAAAATATGTTTTTTCGCCACACAGTTCTATGTTTAAAGTAAGCTCTCCATCTCATCCTTCGTATGAGTTCCTCTGTTTTTTTTTTCATTAATATCACGAAATATTCCTTCTTGTTGGTATTAGGAATGTTCTTCAGAGAAATTCCGAAATTTATTTTCTCCATATTTTCTTCTTGTTAAAATAAAGATTTAGATTGCTCAACTTTGATTAGGAGAAAATAAAAATATCTATAAGAACACCGGATTATATATCTTACTGTTCTTTTCTTTTTTCATATATATATATATATATATATATATATATATATATATATATATAGTTGATTGATTTGAGTTCAGACGTTGGGTTTCAAGTTATCTGCGATCGTCAGACAAACCGCAGATAACTTGAAACCCAGGGTCACAAACTAACGTCAATCCAATTAAATATGTTAGCTCTATCACTGATATTGACCGCTTTCCAATAAGTACCGCGCACATATAATATATAAGTAATATATATAAAATATATAAATAATATATAAATAATAATTAATATATAAATAATATATATAAAATTGCATAAATATATATATATATATGTACACACACACACACACACACACACACACATATATATATATATATATATATATATATATATATATATATATATATATAGGGGGGGATACATGATCAAGCGTGCAGCCAGAAATCATTGATCCATCACTCCACATGTGATGAATATAGCACAGAATGTTTCTCAAATGCAGGCCTCGTTAGCCACAAGAAGAGTCATATTGGTCGACCTTTGACAAATTATGCTGGGAATAACTTAACATGTTGGATGTGTCATAAAAACTGCGGAAAACCGCTCTGGTCTTACTCGTCACATAAAAGCCCACGAGCAACCTGAACAGAATTTAAAATTTAGCCAGGTCCTATACAGAACAAATTTGTCATGTCTGCAATACACATTGCAAGTCACTTGCTTTAAGAGCCATTGTCATTTTCACCGGAACTAAAACCATGGATTATATGGCCACATCGCGTTGAAACATCGGTTCCCGTACGATCACCGAAGTTAAGCAACCTGGAGTCTTGTCAGTACCAAAATGGGTGACTGCTTGGGAACCTAGGTGCTATAAGCTTGGATATATGGGTTGTGTAATGAATAATGACTTGGAATTGTCAAACGGAGAGCCGAGTTCCAATTCCAATCGGGTTCGTTATAATCACTTACGTATAAATACTCTTGGGAAAGGTATCAATCAATCTCTTCCCCTCCAACTATGGGTTAATTAGTAAGACTTGTATCACTGAACTATTATTATCTCCAAAAGTAAAATGAAATTGTGTTCAAAAATATATTTATATTTCGGCATTAAATACCCCATAGAGATTGATATGCCCCTAAACAAAACAATCAATAAAACCATGGACCGAACTTGTCAGTGATGGTCATACTCGTTTAACGAGATAACAGCCATTATGAATGTATGTACATAAATTGAAATAACAAAATAGGAAAATCTATTTTTGCAAAGCGTTTCGCTTCTTCTGAAACTTTGTCTAAAGCAAAATTTAGAGATTTATTCAGGAAAATTTGTATTTGTAAACACAGAAAATGTTATTTTATGCAGATTTATTAATAAAAATATTTATATTTATTTATGTCGATTTCTTAAGGAAAGACCGTATTTTTACACAGAAAAAACTTCGTTTACAAAATGACGTAACAAGCTCACATTTCAATCTGAGAACATTTGAAAAAATTGAAATTGAAAAATATTCACCGTTATGGAAATGAAAAGACAATGCTTATATCGCATGTTGGCATATTTCGGAACAAACACAAAAACATAAATGAAAATATTTAATTTACTGCATAAAATATAATTAAATAAATAACTACCCTTTTAAAAATAATAAATTCATTTTCGATTACCAGAAAAATGGCATCCTTTCGCTTCCACCATAATTTTCTTTCCATAACGTTGAAAGCTTTTCTCTGGTTCAAATTTTATCAACGATAGATTGTCTGTGTCTATAAATTTAAGTTTCCCTTAATAAATATCTACATTTTGCCTTTGATGGAGTTCTTGCATGAATGAAATGCGTTACAAAAATGTTTACCTAATTCGACATCTCAGTTAATTTTACTGTCTTTCAAATATTCAGTTTAAATATGTTCATTTATATCTTAATTTTTGATAAGTCAATTGGATAAATCAATTTTGATGAGTTCATTTATTTAGATTCAATTTATTCAATTACATATGTTCTTTTATAACTCAATTTTTGATAAGTCAATTAGATAAATCAATTTAGATAAGTTCATTTATTAAGATTCAATTTCTTCAATTTAAATATGTTCATTTATATCTTAATTTTTGATAAGTCAATTTAGATAAGTTCATTTATTTAGATTCAATTTAGATATGTTCTTTTATAACTCAATTTTTAATAAGTCAATTAGATAAATCAATTTAGATAAGTTCATTTATTTAGATTCAATTTAGATATCTTCGTTTATTTGGATAAGTCAATTGGAATGGAATTGATAAACATTATTATTAATAAATGTAATCATTCAACATAATGTTAGTTCGAGGTCGATTCTAGGAGGAAGTTGGGTTTTTTTAACGTTTTAATTCTGATTTAAATAGGTTTAATGCCATATCACAATGAATCACCGGTTCTTGTATGATCACAGAACGAGCCAGGTCAGTACCTAGATGGGAGACCGCTTGAGAATACGAGATGCAGTAAACTTGGATGTGCGGGTGGTGTAAAGGATAATGACTCGGAATTGTTCATCGGAGAGCCGAGTTCTAATTCCAATCGGGTTTATTATATTCATTTATGCGCAAATACCATTGGGAAAAGTATGAATCAACCTCTTCTCTCCCCAGCTATGAGTTAATTAGTAAAACTTGTATCACTAAAACCATTATTATCTAAAAAAAATTCTTACAATCTAAAATATTTTCCGGCTTTAAATAACTGCAAAGTGTTGATGAGCCGTAAAAACGAATCAATTAATCTAATTTAAATGTATATGCACCGAATGGTAGTGATGTCATAGTGATCGAATGCTAGTGAACGATTTGAAGGAGAGATACATTAAAAATATTTTTTTAATTTAAAACGTTTATCCCTTGATATGGGTCCCGGGCAATGCTTTGTGGCCCTCGCTATCTTATCAGCATTTGCTATTTTTTCTACCTATTTTTAAATACGTTACAAATTAAACTATAAATGACTATTAAATGTTTCGTATATTCTGACGTCATTCTGGGATCTTTTTGTCCAAATCTGTAAATTTGTTTTGCTTATGCAAAATCTATTTTTTATCCATAATGTTGAATGTGTGCAAATTATTATAACTTTTAGCAAGAAAAATGTCAAGATGATGTTAAAAATTGCTGCAAAACATTGTTGATTTATTTAAGATGGAATGATAATATATCTCGAATTTTTATTTGGATATATTGTATTTTATTTTTCTAGTTCAATAGTTCATCTATATTATATATGATTATTGTACATAATTAGATTACAATAAAATTTCTTTACATTATTCGGACCATTGTCCACATCTTTGTCGCCATATTTATTACAACGTTTCGGCCGTTGTACGCTCCGGCCTTCTTCGGGTGGTTGGAATGTCGAACTTAACCCTTTATTTAATAGAAATGAATACAATATGGGAACCAGTAATAAGGAGTGCCAGAGAAAAGCGATAACAGCAAAAAATTGCAATATGAGCACTGGTAAAAACGGTTGCTGAAGACATTAGGTTTATAATACTCATACACAGATGTCCTCACGGACACATGGCACAGTGGATAAAGGCGTTGGTGGCAGGACCCAAAGAGTATGAGTTCAATACCCGGTTAAGGCAGAACTTTCAGAGGGAAATTAACGTAGATAACTGATAACTGACATCCATTAAACATGGCACTAGTCTACTAGTGAGCGAAATAAAGGGTTAAGTTCGACATTCCAACCACCTGAAGAAGGCCGGAGCGTACAACGGCCGAAACGATGTAATAAATATGGCGACAAAGATGGGGGACAATAGTCCGAATAATGTAAATAATGTACATAATACTTCATCTCAGAAATATAGGCAGATATTAAAATTTCTAATTTATAGTAGTACCTTATGAAAATTGAGATGTGGGGGGGTGGCGTATCATAGATCGGCTGTATCGGGTGGAGAATATATCGGAATTTTTTTAAGCAATCCTATACTATGTTATTCAAAGATATAAAATAATTTTTATATATATATATTGATTGAAAGGTCAGTCAATTATGTGCCATGCATTATACACGCTTAGGCGATCATGTAGCTTTCGATACATGACTGACGAGACAGATTTTTTCTCGCAGTAGGTTGCCATTTCTTTCTGCGGTAGACCAGTTAATTAGTGCAGCCTTGGAAAAGGATGATAGAACCCGGTCTGTCCTGCTATTTACCCATAGATGGTGGAAGAAGAGGATTTATACTTTTCTCAAGCACGTAAGTGAATGTAATGAATTCGACCGGAATTCGACCGGAATTCGAACTCGGCTCACCGATTCCTCAGTCCGAGCTGCTATCCATGTGCCTATGGTAAACCCGGTGTACAAATCTCGAGGCTACAGAACCCGATCTGTCTTGCTATTTACCCATAGCTAGTGGTCGGAGACGAGGATTCATACTTTTCCCAAAGGAGATGGAATTCGAACTCGGCTCTCCGATTCTTCAATTCGAGCTGCTATCCATTACTCCACTGTGCCTAGGTAGCGTTTCTTAAGTTGAGTAAAACTTAGTTAGCGGTGTCTATGAGGATAGATTGTAATTTTGCGTCATATTTGTCTTTATCTAGTATAAATTACATTTTAAATTAAGTTTTAAATTAGAATTATAAAATTTCTAAAATGGATCTGTGTGAAAGCAATCGAAAATTGTTTCTTTGGTAACTTAACACATTTTCATTTTTTAGTTTGTTACTCATTTGTTGCTTTACACTTTTGGCCTCATGCCATATCTAAACTAGGCTTAGAAATCATTTGTGTATTTCGACGTGGTGTAATGGTTAACAAGCTAATCTCGCTAGATCAGTTACTAGTGAGTTGGTTCTTCACGGGTTGCTCCGTACTTCAGGCCTTATACCACATCTATGTTATACTTAGCAAAGGAGCTATGCCTAATAAAAGGCACTTCATTTTTTATTTAGATTCTCTAATATTCTTATATTTGTACGTTTGAGGTGGGTAAGAGAATGTCAAAATTATCTTTGGTGTCTGTTGTCCCAAGCGTTTTGGAACGCTTTAGCCATTTTTGTTGTTGAGGGCTTTTGTTGTTGAGTGTTGTTAATTTCTTTAAGAAATTTTCTAAAAAAAAAATTAACAACACTTAAATTAATAAAAAATTCATCAATTTTTCCTCGTCTAACAACTTGTTTGAAAGAAAAGTTGCTGTCCAAATATACATTATACGAATAGTGTGTTTATTTTTATACAATAAGTTTGTCTTTGTAATTTGCCCCTGAAGATGATCCGGGAAAAGATCGAAAGTACTTGGGTTAGAAAAAAATTCGGCGCTTTCCTTGATAAATTGCATCTTAAGATCAATAAACTGATTAGAAAACGGGAAAGGATCAGTATAAAAATAAATAGACACAATATGTTTATACTATTCAATGAAACATGTTTGAATATATATATGTGTGTGTGTATATATATATATATATATATATATATATATATATATATATATATATATATATATATACTATTCTTTCTCTTTTTATTTTGGGGCTTTACGAGTACATATACCTATCATTTCGCATTAGTGCGCAAATTACTTTTTTGAGTAATTTCACGTCTACTTATCATCTCTCAGCTGCGTCTATGTCCTTGGACAGAGTGCGCTCAGAGGCTTCTCTGTCAAAGGACAGAGGGGCAACTGAGAAAATTATACTGAAGAGCTGCCCCACACCTGGGGAACAGCTGCCCGAAACCGCGCCCTCCCATTGCACCAGAGGGAGGGATCGGTGCTCGTATTGAGGCCAGCGCAACTGACGGTTGCGAGGGCTCGGGAAATTTTTGTTCCTTGCCCGGGTGCATGCGCTCAGGCTCCCCACATTAAAC